GATTGGTAGAGAACAGGGAGAGGCTGGCAGACTGTGACTTGTTGAAATATGTGAAGAAGGGTGGAGCAAGAGGATAGTGGGAAAACAGAGAAGTGGCTTTGAGGTATACTTAAGGTAAACATTAAAATACCTATTGAAACTCTGAAATACGCATCAATAGGTAAAATTTCAATTTATGTTTTGATGTTCAAATGGAGTCTCTATGTGAAAGTATACCACAAATGTTATTAGCATGTAGGCTAGCTGAAAACCCGATTTCAAGAAATGTGTGACTTGGAAAGAGTATGTATTGCTTGGAGCTTTCAGGGACAGAGTGGGAAACGTCTTGCACTACGGCAGATGAGGGTCACGGTGGGTGGTGAGGGTCACGGTTGCTGGTTTGGGGCGGAACAGGTTAGAACCCGCAGATTGCCGCTCGCGGCTATATTTTGTAATTTTGATGATGTAGTTCAACAATGCAGAGCTAAGCTGAAGCACTTTATATATATGCAGATTAAAGAAATACATCATATTTTATAAACTGAATATATGATTTAATATAAAATCTTCACCTGCAAATAACCAATTACTATATCTATACCAGAGGCGCTCAAGTTTTGATGACTGAGTGTGATAGTTTCAGAAGCCAGCATATAATTTAGGGCTATGCAGGTTCAGGATGGTGTAAGCCACTTTCACCCAGCAGTCCTGCACAAACTCTCCATCACAACCACCTTAACCAACCACATAGCTTGCCTGTGTTACACCTCGACTTCTTTTCCCAAGATTTGCAAAGACTGACTGTTTGGCAGATAAGTCTAGTTGAAACTGTTCAACCTTACGTATCAGTTTTCAGCCATGAACTTGTGGTATGATTTGGTCTCATAAAAGTCCTAAAAGTCCTGACTTTACATGTACCCTGAGGTCCGTTAATCCAGGGGTTCCCAGCTGGTGGGTTGCTGTACAAAAGTAGGTTGCGAGTCCATTCTGAATGGACCGGAGGTGACTCATGAGTGTGTCAAGTTTGTAAAAAATAAAAACCACCTCATTTTGAAGTACGGTGAATTTCCGGCACAGATCTTCAATTTTAAGTGCTGTGTCCTGCTGTAGAGCGAGTGACTAACAAACAGCTACTTAACAGAGACTGCAAACTAGCTGGACGACATGGCCAAATGCAAGTATGATGCTAAATAGATGAAACTGTGTGGACCTTGAACTAATGACTAAGGAGAAATCTGGACCCAGTGGTTGGACTAGTTTGGAACCTCTGTGTTAATCCATTCACTCCTTAAGAGTTAATCCATTTTTCCTGAAATCTCCTTTTCTCCTCAACCATAGAGTATATTTTCCGTGCTGACTCCCCATTAAACCGCTGAGCTGTCCATTGAAATCACTAATTTTAGCTAACAGCACTAGCACTGATACTGAATGAAATTCCCGCGGCAATCACAAGGTGCCACTTGTTGCCAAACAGTCAGTAGCTTTCCACAGATTGTAATCCTAACCTGACACTTGTTAGGGGGGCAAAGTTTGATGCAGTAACCAAGTAGTATAGTAAATGTAAGATATTTAAAGTTAAGTATTGAAATGGACAGTGGATGATTAAAAGATGATGCATGCATTTCATGTCACCTTTGGAAAGCCACACAAAATGTTTCTGAGGGCTGGCTTTGGCCTGCAGGCTGCTCTTCAGGCAGATATGATCTGTATTATGCTAAATTTATATTGTAGGCATAAAAAATGAAATACTTGTGTAAAGCACTTGTACCTGAAAATGCCCCTTGAGTAACTACTTTTAACCTCTGTTGAGAATGAACCAGTCCTTGAAATAAAAAAAGGCAGGAAATTCATGATTGTGAAGTTAAATACGAGAGAGGACAATCGCACAGTCGCTATCTTTTGTTGCTTAAATCAACAGAATTAAGGCGACCATATTTGAACTGGGCCAGTGAGGCAAGATTAATATTCATAACAATGTTTATCATTTTATTGTATAAACATTAATGCAGTGACAGCCTGTCTGTGTAAACAACCAACAAGGCAAGCAGGACTACTGCATACTGATTAGTGAGCAAATAGCCCAGTCTGCCGGGCATACAGCTTGCAAGGTCTCCGATTGTAAGCAACTCCATGTTGGAGATATGAAATTTCCTCTTATCTTGCTTATGAATTGCAGTTGTTGTATTCACTGACACGCAGGAAAAGCCAAAGGTCTTCCTTTTGTTTGTGCAGGGTCCAGAGTAGTACTTCTGGGTATTTTCAGACTTAATGAATGCCAGGTTACAAGTAATACAATCCAATGCTTTTGTGTAAAATGTACTCAGTCCTCAGTGTCAGTTATTACACCCTCTGTTCTATGATGAAGTACTTTTTATTGTGAGTGAGCATCTCTCTGGAAGGACCTTGATTGCTTGATGAATATAAAAACTAAATTGTGGCTTGGCTGACGCAGTCTGTAAAACTCAACCAGCACCTGTGGGAGATTCAGCAGATTTGCCTTAAACAGCATCTTTTACCATCATCAACAAAACACCAAATGATGGCTCTTCTTTTGGGAAAGACTGACTTTGTAGCCCTCCAACAGACAAAATAGACTGCAGCCCTTCTAGTGGCTTGTAGTTGTCCAATGCCTCAATGAAACACTGTAATTTATTGGTTAATTTTATTAATCTTTATTGAAATATATGTATGCATTTGTGATTTCAGGGATGTTTCTTCCACAGCTCTGAGTTCCCTCCCCCCTAAAGGACTGAGGCAGGTGAGGTTTCTAAAGGCCATCTCTGCCTTTGCTCTGAAGACCCTCCCTCCACTGGAGAGCCTGGCTGAGCTGCTGGAGGCCGAGCTCACGTACCCCAGCCACTGCTGCGCCTTCCACACGTGGCGTCGGAAACAAAGGTAACAGATGCCTGCTCCCGGTGATGTGGCGAATCCATTCACATCTGCATAAAGAACAAAAGCTCTGTCCAATGAATACAGATCATCAGTTTGGTAATTAGCAGTTGGGTCTATTGACATTTTGTCTGGTCTAACCTTTTCCCTTCTTTTTTTTTTTTTTTCTTAAAGGGAAAGCGCCTTAAAGAACTTCACAAAGTTTTGTGACCTCAGCCAAACTGATATGTAAGTTACTTCACTAACCACTGATTTAATGATTAACTTTTTTTGAAAAAGTAAAAACCCTCTCTAACATTATAAGGAGGCTTTCACATCATCAGCGTGGGCCTGAGTACACTTCACCCCAAAGTTCAGTTTGTTTGATTAGTCTTAACACTGTGTTCTGTACCCATGCACGGTTCATTGATTTGTGCCTTGATCCATTTGAAAAGGTGATGGAGTATGGCTGGTGTTCTTGGATACGGTTCATATCTGGTGATAAAACCAAAAAGAAAGAGGACTTCTATTTAACAGGGTTAGCAGTCGGCAAGTACTGTAGGGTGACAAAGGCATTTCTCAATGCTGCCGGTCTCCTCCCAAATCTGCAAGTGTGCACAGCATGCACCGATGGTGTCCTCTGAACCGTACAGCCACTAGTAATAAAGTAGTAAGGCAAGCGGCAGGGTCGTTCTTAAAGACAATTGAAGACATAATGTGAAGTTGGACTTCATTGTATGGGCTTGGGATCTCGACTTTGCCACGCTTTTCTATACTAATGCAACAACATAAACACATGTTGTATATGATGAAATAAGTGTACTTGGGTATGGGACAACAATAGTAATGTGAAAGCTGAGTGGCAGGGGGGTGGAGAGGGGGTCGATCGTGCTCGAGCACAGCACAAATCAATCGCACCTAATATGAAAAGGGGTCATCCCTATGTTTCCCAGGTTCTATGTTTCCCACTCAACCAAAAAGGGTTCTATGTTTCCTGCTTGGTTGAGCGGGAAACACAGAACCTTTTTTGTGTAAGCGGGGAACATAGAACCTTTTTTGCAGGGTTAAGTAGGGAACATAGAACCTGAGAAACATAGATACGCTCCCAGAATTTGAGATGATCTAATCTAAATTATACTTAGTGGAATCATATTTTTCCTATGGATTGAAAGTTACAGTTGGCAAAATCATGGACAAAATAATAAAAGGATGCACCCTGTTTACTAAATATTCTATCCATCCAAGAGCTGTCACTGTCACTTCATATGACACATTTGATATATATTGACACATTTTAAAGGCACACTATATGATATTCAAGGCGAATGCATGATTCAGATTGTCTGCAAACATGGGGGTGGCAGAGCCGATGGTTAGCAGCTAACAGTGACAACAGTGCAAACAGTGCTAAATAATGGAAACAGTGCTGACAGAGCTAACTGTGTTAAACTAGGGGGGACTGGAGGGCAGGCACTATGCTTCCAAGACAACACCATCTGGACATCAGGGTTAGCTGCCATATTAACTCAGTGTAGAGCAGCGGCAATAAGCTACCTAGTGGGATACACACACAGGACTCACATTCACCCATGACCAGACCACCTACCACAACAAAGAACAGAGAAGCTCAGATTACAACACACAGAGGTGGTGTGACTTCATTCTCTGCTGAGGAAGCCATTACTCCACTACTGTTTATCTTTGCATAGCAAATAGTTGTTTGCGGCCATATTAAATTAATTCTTTGAACATCACATAGCGCTCCTTAAAAGTAATTATTGATGTAAATCTATAATTAATGAGAAAAATAAACACCTAATACAGAGGTAGAGCGAGGGGAACATTACAAAGATGCTTCCCTGCACTCCTTAAACATTGGAGTGCCCTATCTTACCAAAAAACATGATAAAATGTAAAACACATAAACGTCCGCCTTTTCTGACTCCTCTTCTCCCTATAATTTTCATATGGTTGCTTAAATGCAGATCATTTTCCTTGATCAATTGCTCTGAGATTTTTCTCGTAATCTAAACATCTGTGTGTCCCTCAGAGAGCCCACTGCAGATGGTGTGAATCTTATCGATAACATCAACTTTCAGTATCCAGACCTGGAGTTTGATTGCTTGACCAGCCCCTTCGTAAAGTGCACGCCAAAGCCAGACGCTTTTAACCCTTGTGAGGACCTGCTGGGCTTCCCCTTTCTCCGCTGTCTCACCTGGATAATTACGGTGTTCGCTGTGACTGGCAACCTGGCTGTTCTGGCTATGCTCCTAATTAGCCACCACAAGCTGACCATCTCCAGATTCCTCATGTGTAACCTGGCCTTCGCTGACCTGTGCATGGGGCTCTATCTAATGCTCATCGCCTTCATGGACTACCGCTCCCGACACGAGTATTACAACCACGCCACGGACTGGCAGACGGGGCCTGGATGTGCCATAGCAGGGTTTTTGACAGTGTTTGCCAGCGAGCTGTCAGTATATACATTGACTGTGATTAGCCTTGAACGCAGGCACACCATCACTCATGCCATGCATGTCAACAAGAGGCTGCGGATGCATCATGTGGCAGCCATAATGGGGGCAGGCTGGGGTTTCTCTCTGCTGGTTGCTCTGCTCCCTCTTGTGGGGGTCAGCAGTTACAGCAAAGTGAGCATCTGTTTGCCCATGGACATCGACACACAAGGCTCTCAGATTTACGTGGTCGCTGTGCTCATTCTCAATGTACTCGCTTTCCTGTTGGTCTGCTACTGCTACATATGCATATATCTGAGTGTTCGTAACCCAGAGCACTCTACCCGTAACGGAGACACCAAGATTGCCAAGCGCATGGCTGTGCTAATTTTCACAGACTTTCTGTGCATGGCCCCAATCTCCTTCTTCGCCATCTCCGCAGCCCTGCGCATGCCCCTCATAACCGTGTCTCACTCAAAGATCCTGCTCATCCTTTTTTATCCCATTAACTCCCTCTGCAACCCTTTCCTGTACACCCTCTTCACACGGGCTTTCAGGAAGGACGTGTGCCTGTTGCTGAGTCGCTGTGGCTGCTGCCACGCCAACGCTGATTTCTATAGGTCACAGACTCTGGCTTCACACCTCAACTGTACCCAAAAAACATCCAACAAAAAGCATCACTCACTTAGTTTCTATACCTTTCACATTAAGATGAAGGACTGCTTTCTGAATAAGGGAGCAACATGACCTGCAACACTGAGCTATTTATTATGAACTTAAAGGCAGCATCTGCTGCTAAACATGGAGCACTTCAACATTTAGGGTCAAGGTGAAGAGATTCTTAGTACTGTATGCATCAGATCACATTTGACTAGTTTACAAAGTATGAATTTCATCCGGCAGAACCAAGACACTTCAAACTGGAGACAACAGGTGCTGCAGCCTCCATTTCTGCACGTGTAATGTGGTACAGAGACGCAGACAGAAGCAGAAGAAATGCAGAACATGTATAACAGGCCAGTTCACACAGCTGTCCTTAAGCACTGATGATCATTTGTGTTATGATCAAGATATATATTTAGCACTTGTGTCAGATGTTACAAAGAAGAGATATTTAGTTCTATTAAAGATAAATACACTGAAAATATTTATTATTTTTTCCTTAGAAAGGTTAAAATTTTAGGTTTTAATACAATGAGGTGAATGGGATCAAATGCAGTCTTGCTTCAGCTCATCAGAGGTGAGTTTTAGTGCCATCTGTTGGGTTGTACTCAGGAGACATTTGGCCTGGGAGACTTGAAGACTGCAGACATGCAAGAGCAGCCACAGAGACTCAGTTCAAGTTGGAGCTTGGTCGACTAGAAACATTTCTGCTGTTCAGACTGTTTGAATGATTTCAGATATTTTGATTAAAAATGTGGTCAACTATCTTTTGCAATTTGTTTCCCAATTTTACTAAAAACACTTCTCAGCACCATCACAAAACTGATGCAACTTTTACCGCTGACTTTCAGAGAAAAGTTGCACATACTAGGGTCCACTCTAGGTCAGTGCGGCCTTGCTCAACACATCAATATGTAAAATAGCATCTGATTTATTTAACCTGGTAAACAAGAGATCACATTTTGGTTTTGCTTCAAATCTCTCCTCTGTGACACAGAGTTTTTATATATTATACAGGAGATCTGCACTTTTGACTCAGCTGCACACCGTTTCCTAAAGTTGTTCCCAACCTCATTGGCTTGTGGGTTGCAAATTTTTCCCCGTTGACAGAATCACTTTCAGTATTATCCAGTCATTTTGAGGAGTAGAAATATGTTTCTCTTATTTCATATTCTGTCAATAATCCTCCGCTCCCTACTCCCAAGTTAGGAACCAGTGCTATAAAGTAAACTACACTATGCGTGATGGTGCATACTACACTAGTTTGGACATATTTGAAGCCAGTAAACAAAAGACAGTTTTAAACAAAGGAAAAGCAACCAGGCCTGCACAAAAGAATGTCACTAAAATTTTGACAACACTGCCAATGTCAAAATGTCAAAAACATTTTCTGAGGATTTTTCACTGATTTGTTGTTTTGTAAATTGTTCCTGGAGCTGTCACAGCACCCTTTACATTTCCTCTCCAGCTGTGAGCAGCTAGCTTGAGTGTCTATCCAAACCACCGTCAAACATTAATTGATTTTAGTGTCCATGCTGGCATTTATAAATTCATTTTGTCACATTCCAGTGAATTTGTGTGTAGTAGTTTCAACAGGGAGAAAAAAAAAGTCCTCTTAGTTCATTAGAAAAATAATATGACACCAAGGGAACACTGGCTCTGTGCAGGACTGCGCAGAAAAAAGGGGGGTTTATTGAATGCAGCACAACAGTGCAGTTCAGTGTATTTGAAGCGTGATTAAAGACATTACAGTGTTTGAAAATCAAACAGCACATTAGGTAGCCTGAAAGCAACATGATTATGACAGAAGAAAAACACATTCCAGGTCAAATAATGTTTTGCTCCACTAATAAAGAAAACTATTTTTCAGCTAAATATTATACAACATAAATTCATGCTGTTTGTCTCAGTAGAGCAGCGCCGCGAGTAATTGGTTGTAAATGACTTGCAGTATTGCTCTGATAATTACATAATGAAAAAAAACAAAAGTATCAGTGATTTTGCACAGAGGTGTTTTAACTGCCGGCTCCGTGAGTGAAATTACAACACCAAGAGTTCTAAATTCACTGATTATTTCCCCCCTTTAAATCAGTTTCCCGTCTTTCAACATGATTATCTGATGTGTTCAGGAGAAAGCTCATCACCACTCGGCTTCCCCAACAGCTTTAGAGAACACGTAGTCCCTACCTCCGTAACACATCACTCCATCTTTTAAATGAAACTTCCAGCGGTTCTTACTGCGGTGAATCTGCAATATAAAGAACATTTTATCAGGGTCAATACTCAACAGTGTTCAGAGCCAGTATAGAGCCAACATGTTCTTACTTTGTCGTACTGACAGACGATTACATTGTCAGTGTCAAAGAGATCCGGGATATCCTGCTCAATCACATCATCACCTGAATTCAAAGGATCCTAAATGATAGAAAGTGAATTGATAAGTGTGCAATCAAAGACATGCTGTTGGGAAAAGAAACTGAGTGCTGCCTGCACAACTGTTAAATGTCATTCGCAGCAAAAGTGGCACAACTCAGCTGGTGTTTCTCAAACAGAGATGTTTTAGAGGCAAAAAATAAACCATGACAAAATTCATATCCACCTCTCTCTCTCACCTCTTCCTCTACATTAGCGAGCTCATCTGCCTCCTCGCTGTCGCTGCTGGAAGAGATGCTGTTACCGTCACTGCTTCCATCTCCTTCCTGCAGGGCTTTGATGGCCTCGGCATTGATTATACCCAGAAAGTCGTTCTCTTCCAGGGGAACTCCCTCTTCCTCCTCCATGTCAGAGTTGCCTGCAGGTCCATCCAGCTGAACGATGTCTGACAGCTCGCTGTAGTTGTAGTCCAGGTCCAGCTAAGCAGGAGATGGGAAAAGAAACTTAACAGTTGTGCCATGATACTATTCAGAGAATTTAAGTAGGCTGTGATAAAATGTCTTTGAATAATTCAAGATTGCACACCTGGACACAGCAGTCTGTTTTACAGCACCCAGGCATTTCAGATTTGAATGCAACTCATGTTGAGGAGTTAGTAGTGAAAAAACTTTCATGTGAGAGACATGGATGCCAACTTTATCATGGAAACATGTTGGGGGACTCAAAGTTAAAAGCAGTATTGTCAAAATCAGAGATATATTGACTTGTAGTCCTCAGTACAGCTCAAGCTTCAAAAATGCTGCATCCTACACTTTCAACAATACAACACACTCCCTCTATACCTCTTAAACATCCATTTATTTTAAACTACACACCTTAATTCTTTCTGTTAAACCACTGGAGTGGAATAGTCCGACAGACACACTCTTCTAGAGCTTGATACCACTTAATGTCAGTTGAGTAAATATAAAGCTATAGCCAGCAGCTGGTTAGCTTAGCTGTGCAAAAAGCCTGGAAACTCTGTGCCAAGAAACTGTCTGGCTCATAACCCCTTCTTAAATTACTACTGCTCAGCCAGTGGTACGTTGAATTTGCAAAGAAAGGTTTGTTTCACTCACATGCCTTTATGGTGTGCAAAAAAATCCAACAGAGAAAATTCAAACAACATTCCATTCAAACTCTCACACAACTCATGCAGTATAATCCAAGTCTCATTTATGTACTTTCCAAATGCATGCATTTTCAAAAAACCTTGAGTGTTTATGCAGAAGTGTTTTAAATATTATGATTTATTGGTTTCAGCAAAAGTGCATGTATTTGGGAAGTACTGAGCATCTGACTGGATAAATGAGACTTAAATTATACTACACAAGTTGTATAAGCGTTTGTCAATGGATGTTTTGAATAGTTTTTTCTGGTGTTATACGCAATGCCTCTGCATCAAAATTTTTCTCAATTTTTGGAATCTTCATTCACTGTGAAGGCATCCAAGAAAAACAATGTTTTCTTCATATAATTAGAATAAAAATAGCCATTTGAGGGGTAAACTATTGAAGTAAGAATGGATTAAACAAATCAAGACATGATAAAAAATAAATTCATAATAATAAATAATTCATTAGTAAGCTTTAGAGGTCTGGAGGACAGATTCTGTTACCCCTGGACAGATCCAAGCTAAATATCTCCCTGTTTTCAGTCTTTATGCTAAGCTAAGCTAAGCTAACCAGAGGCCTGTACTACGAAGCAGGATTTGAAGCTAGCTAGGTAACTTCAGGTTTAACGCTGGGTTTTCAGTACTATGTCCCTCTTTTTACCGAGATAAATCACCATGGTAACTTATGCTGAACAGCTAACCTGCTCAGGAGCAGGTTAACTTCAGAGTATTGGATCACAGTCTGTCAACACCCCGACGTCCAGTGACCAATCAGATCACTGAGGAAAAAAGTTTCCATGGACGCAAGTCTGGAGTCTCGGGTGAAAAAAGAGTAGACTAGGGGTGTTGGTGGCTTAGTGGATAGAGCAGGTACCCCATGTACAAGGCTGTTGCTGCAGCAGCTCGGGTTCGAGTCCAGCCTGTGTGCTCCATGTCATCCCCTCTCTCTTTCCCCCCTTCACACTAAACTGTCCTGTCCATTAAAGGCAAAAAATGCCCGAAAAAATATCTTAAAAAAAAAAAAAAGAAAAAGAGTAGTCTATGTATTTTTAGAGGTCAGTAGAATTATTTCATTGTTCAAGGGCTCTTTTTCCACCGGTTTTCCGCTAGATAGGAAAACCCAGAGTTGACTGAACTAGTTGATGACCAGCTTTGTAGTACTGGTTATCCAGATGGCCAATGTGAGGGTTGGTCACACTAGATAATGAAAGGATATCCTGGGTAAGTTAAAGTCCAGCTAAATAATTAGTGTACCGATACGAGAGTTGCATTGATTTTCTCATCTACGTGGAACTTTTCATTTAAAAATACACATCTGTATCTCAACAACTGGCTTTTCCTGTTTTTGTCACTGGCAGGTGCTTAAAGAGAGAATTTTTTTTTTGACTTACTCCAAGATCGTCCTCAGCCTGGTTGTCAGTCCTCACAGGCATTAGATTCCTCGCCCTTTCTGCCTTCTCTCTCTCCTCCTCAATCACTTCTTTCAGGATGTCATCAATGTCTCTGGTCTTTAACTCTGCTGACTGTATCAAAGCTTCCTCGGTGCTAATCTGGAAGTCTAATAGCTGACTGCAGGGTGAGGCGCTCACGCTGAGGTTCAAAGGTTCGGGTTGTTGTGGACTCGGATCTTTTTCCCACAGTGTGACCTCAGGCTCTGGAGAGTGGGCTCCTTCAAGCTGCGAGGTCTCAGCAGCAGGAACTGCTGGTGGCTGCTGTGAGAGGCTGCTCTCACGTCCAGGGGGTAAAGTGGTCTTTGGATGTGGCAGCTGTGTGACAGGAGTGGCTGGAGCAGAGGGTGCAGAGGATGCAGAGGATGGCTCCACCTCCTGAGGATAAGTGGCATTTGGTAGGGCTGCAGCTGACTGAGGGGCAGGAGCTTCTCTCTGCTCAATGACTTTCTCTCTGCTTTGAGATACAGGTGGCTGACCTGCCGGGGCCTGAGTAACCACAACTGGAACATTGACCTTGTAGAGTTGACCTCAGTGAGACAAAAGAAGGAGAATGAAATGTTATTTCAACTTATTAGTGCATGCTGCAAACAAAACAGATTTAGGCACGTAACATGTCATTATGTACCAGAAGC